TGATTAATCTCCTTTGTCAGTGTATCCTTTGCCATTCCCTATCACTCCTCCCTGAGAGAGACTTCACCCTGATTTCATAAGGAAAAGGGGACGACGTATTCTCTTAGCTACTTCCTGCTGAAAAGGGACGCTGTAAAAAGCACAGCTCTTAAGAACTCAGTTCAATCCATTTCTACAGAGTGAACAGCCCTTTGTTGTTGTTAGGTGCCTTTGAGTTGAGTACAACTCACGGCAACCCCGTGACCAAAAGATTTAAACCCTCTTCTCTCCTGTGCCATCCTCACCCTTCCTGACACACAAGAGCCCATTGCAGCAGTTACCACATCAGTCCACCTGGTTGAGGGTTTTCCTCTCCTTTGCCAACCTTCTACCTTGTCCCAGAATCATGTCCTTCTCCAGGCTATAGACTCTCCTAGCAACATGCCCAAAGTATGTAAGGCAAAGCCTCATCATGGAACATTCCACACTCTTTTCCAGTGCCATAGCTCAAAGGCATTACTTCTTCTGTCATCCTTATTCACTGTCCAACTCTCAGATGCATAGGAAATTATCAAAAAGACTATGGTCTGATTCAAACACACCTTAGTCCTCAAACTGACATCATTACTCCTCAGTAATTTGGAGAGGTCCCTAACTACAGATTTTTCCAGTGCAACGCATCTCCTTATTTCCTGACTGCTGGTACTAAGGGAGTTAATTGTAGATCTAAGCACGATGAAGTTGTTGACAGTTTCAATTTCTTCTCCATCCATCCTTTGTAACACTACCTAAATCAAGAAGTCCCCTGAGATCCCCTTCCAGTCACTGCTGCTCTCCTAACTTCTAAACAATACAGTATAGTTTTACCTGGTTTTGAACTATGTATAAGTAAGTTCACCCAGTGTGTATTCTTCAAGGTTTACTAGTAATCCTTTTTGTTCCAATTTTGGTAAGGTCATATTATGCTGTTTACAGTATGTTTTCCTGAAATGTTCCTCAAATAGACTTTTGAAATGTTAGGAATATTGCAAGTGTTCTATTTTGTGTTTATACATATGTAAACATTAGCTTGAAACAATTTCATCTTAAGGAAAAGCTTTAGAGTAATTCTAAATCACACTAAGATGTTTGTGCATTGTTTGCCTCTTCTAGTAATATCTGCCTCTTCTGACACAACAGTAAAAGTATGGAATGCACATAAGGGATTTTGCATGTCGACACTAAGGACACACAAGGTAAAAGAAATTCCCATTGTTTTTGGTGTAGTACTGAGCTCTCTGCGCTTTCTATGGCTCGTTTTCTATTGACATGCAAAGTGGCTCATGGTCTGTCTGTCCTGTTACAGGATTATGTAAAAGCCTTAGCGTATGCCAAGGATAAAGAACTGGTAGCATCAGCCGGATTAGACAGACAGATATTCCTTTGGGATGTGAATACTTTAACAGCACTGACTGCCTCAAACAACACTGTCACAAGTAAGATGTTTGAAAACACTTCTTTGAAAGTCATCCAAGTTAACCTAAAGAAAGAATGGTTTCCAGCACATCTGTGATGGGTTTACATTGAGACAGTGGTTCATTATTCAAGAACGCTGGCACTTGACAGTGTTCTAGCTCCAGGGATGTGACTGAGCAAGAAGGAACTGGCTCCTCGCTGCATCTAGACACAGTCATGTCTGCTGGTTAGGTTTACGGTGCACTTGTGTTCACTCCCTAGCTGCGTGTCTCTGCAGTGCAGGGCAGGGCAGGGCAGGGGAGCTTGTCCTGTACAGTTTTGTATCCCCCACGGCATTTCCCAACCCAAAGCCACACAGCAGATACTGTTGACAGAGGTGGTGATTACCTGACAAAGTAGGCAGTTTCTCACTTTGAAAAAGTGTTACCATGTGTTAAGAGGCTTTGAGTTCATGACCAAGATGGAAAATACCTAGAGAAAGAAGAAAAAGGTTTTCAGGGCCAATTTTCAGTGACCTTTCAGAGTAGCCTTAGAGAATACAGCCAGTTCCAGAGGAAACCAGTTCTTCTGGTGGTGATTGAGAGATATCCATAGCTGTTTGATAGTGTGGATACTTTATCAGTGAAAAGATCTTGGACTTGCAAAGCACACAAGTCTAAACTTGGTGCTCAGCCTCAAGTCTAGCCCAGTTAACCTTAGAGTCCTCTAGACCAGGTGTCAGAGGGGACTGGCAGAGCCAGACCTGAGGGGCCTGCTCTCAAGACAAAGCCCTGAGCTATGTACATCTCTCATCCTAAGTCTAGTTTGCCATTACTTTGTGAAACACGCGCAGGGGTAGTTCCACCAGTATAGCCTGGTCTATGCCAAGAAAAGCAAGTTGGAAGGCTGGAGTTAATGATTTCTTGGATTTTGTTCTACCCTGGTTGTCAGTAAATTTGTGAAGATCCAAGTGCGATGTTCTAATAGTTATGTACACTATCACAGCAATTGATGTTACTGGTCTCTGTTGAATGTTGTGATACGTCATTCAGCTCTGTCTCTCGGGTGACATTGTGAATTAAACATGACCTGCAAACCAAAGATGAGTGGCTTGAATCCACAGCTATTCTGTACAGGAAGGAGAAGGCGGTGTGCTTGCGTGAAGTCTTCCAGCCTTAGAGACCCCGAGGAGCAGGTCTGCTCTGTCCTATAGATTACGCTGAGTTGGAATCGACTTGATCGTAGCGTGTGTGAGTTTTGAGAGCCAGTCCCAGGAGACACTGAATGGGAGGGAGCTCAGTAACAACCAGTACAAGGAGCCATTGTAACCAGGTTAGAGGCTAAGATGGCACTGTGGAAGGGACTTGCTTAGAATGGTTTAGAGAGAATGTCATACTAGTTGATTTTTTTAATGGTTATGAAACCAGTATTTAGGGAGCTCTCGTGGCTTAGTGGCAAGAAGCCACGCTGCATTCCCAAGGGCATGCGGTTTGAGACCTCCAGCTGCTCCACGGAAAAGGATGGACAATCTCCTCCTGTGCGATTACCTGCCTCTGAAAACCCGCCTCAGGGTCAGCTCTGGGTCAGTTCTGACTCAACGCTACACAACAACAACAACAACAAACAAAACCAGTATTTATAGCTAACATTGTTGAGCCTTTACTACAAATGGACATTTTTCCATTTACTCCTTTATGCCTTTTAAATTCTCTAGGTATTTGTTTATATTTTTTGTTGTTATTGTAAAATTAAGATCGTGCTACATAAACAGTATCATAGGTGACTTTTCACTTTTGAATTTGACATTAAAGGGCATGAACTTTTTTTGCTACAAATTACCTCGTTTCCTCCCAGAAATAATGTTCCGATTTATCTTCCTATTAGTAATGTATGAGAGCGCTATTTTACTGTTTTCAGAATTAAGTATTGTCTTTGATTTGATTGTTCAAAATAATGTGTTTTGATTTGTACGTCTTTGAATAATTGTGAGATTGGGTGTTTATTAAAAATATGAGCTGGGGAAAAGATTTGTTTTAAATGTGCGAGACCATACACGTTTGAAAATACATAAGAGGGTGGTTGCTAAATGCCATTGTGATTCAATTTTGCAATTATTTCTTGAGCTGCTCTTAGATATGCTCAAATTCCAACAGCAGTGCTAGTGCTCAGCATTACCTCTGTGATGGATTTCTCCTTCGAGCACCCATAAAGATAAGGCTTTCTAAACTCAGTAATTACGTTTGCAAATTTTATTTTTTTTTGCTGATTAGGTACTAAACAGCTGATGATTTGTTAACATTTACCTCCATTTGTCCTTAATAGCTTCGTCTTTAAGTGGGAACAAAGATTCCATTTACAGCCTAGCAATGAATCAACTGGGAACAATCATCGTATCAGGGTCCACTGAGAAGGTAAAGGAGACCTTAAAGTTTGCTCTGTATTTGGCCAAAAAATAAAATAGAGTAATCTCATCTGTATTCATTTCCTGATGAATGCTAGAAAAGATTTTATTGTAAACAAGTAAGAGTATTAACTACTGTTACGGAAAAGGGAAGGCCAAGAAATGGAGAGGAAGAGAGAATCTTGAACATTTTTGTTATTATTTCTGCTAAGATTAGTAACAGGCTAGTTATAAAAAGTCTTGAGGCGAGCTCTGGTGGCCTAGTGGCAAGAAGCTGCACTGCAATCTCAGAGGTACATGGTTCGATTCCACCAGATGCTCTGCTGGAGAAGGAGGAACAATCTCCTCCTGTATCAGTCAGATCTGATTTGATGGTACACACAAAAAATAATGAAATAAAATTTTTTTAAAAAAAGACATTCTTTTAAAAAAAAAAAGTCTTGAGTCAGCATGGTCTCTAATGCTGTATACCTGTTGTGTAAGTCCATGATTTCTAACATTAATAGCCTCTATGTCCCTTGGTATTGATAGTTGACTGAAAGGGCCTCCACAGACTCAGAATGACTCACATGACTGTAGGTGTGCTGGCTGCTTTTGCAGAAACTGGTGAGCAGTGGGCCAGGCTGGATGCAGCTGGATGCTTGGTCCACAGTATATGATTTCTCAGTCCAGACAACTTGCAGCAAGCTTAGGTGAAATCAGCAGGTCTCACTGCTGCTCCTGTGCTGGTGTTTTTATAAACCTCCCACACTGTGTGGAAAGGGCTCTCTTTTATTGTTCTCCCTGCTGTTGATGATTTGCAAAAGCATGTGTCCTCAGTTTAGGTAGCTGAAGACCACACCCCCAACAGGGACTAACACAATGGCTAGACAAGCCAGGTGGGGTTTTTTTAAGGTTCTGATATTACTAGTTGGAAAGTTGAGGCTTTCAGTCTATTGGTAGAAACAGTACTTCTTCTCAGAATTTAGTGATTCTCAGTTGGCTTAAAAAGTTGCCTGTTGTTTAAATTTGATCATATATTTACTCAGTTTGCATAATATTTTGTTACAATTTTTAGGTTTTAAGAGTATGGGATCCAAGAACATGTGCAAAGCTAATGAAGCTTAAAGGACACACAGACAATGTCAAAGCATTGCTGTTGAATAGAGATGGCACACAGGTAGGCACTGGCACTTGAATGTTTACGTATTGCCATTTACCCTCTTATCCGCAGCTCCATACATCAGAACGTTCCACACTTGGTATACTAGTGCATAAGTCAGCTGGGTCTAAAAGCCACACAGTATAAACCGTGGTTTGTTTAAGTCCATAGAATATTCACTTGATTATATAGTAATCCATTTATTTAACATGTAGTAATCAAAAGGTGTCCAAACTATGTTCTGTTCCTTGGAGAGGGACCTGATGTTGGGAAGGGTGGAGGGTCTGCAAAGGAGAGGAAGACCCTCAACCAGGTGGACTGACACAGTGACCACTGCCATGGGCTCTTGTGTGGCAGAAAGCGTGAGAATGGCACAGGGCAGGACGGGGTTCACATCTTCTGTTCACAGGGTACACGGCTCGATGGCGTCTTAACAACAACAACAATCTAAATATAAAATTCTTTCATATTTGCATTTCTTTTTTTGGCATTTTTTTTTAGATAAAGGGAGAGTAAGAATTTTCTCTGGATAAGTCTAATGGACATTAGCATGGGAAATTTCGGTGCTTAAAGAGGAAAAGCATTTGAAATGTTACATTGTGTAAAGCAGAAGTAGGCTTTTGTTAGGTATTGAATGCTTCCTGCCATTGTATTAAGTGAAAAATTTCCTCCCAGTTGGTCTGGTGTCAGGGCAAATCTTGTCAGGTGACTGTAAGTGGAGTCTATAAGTTTAATGTGCTAGCCTGATGACAAATGGTAACATTTCAAAGAAAAAATAATTTTGGTACTAGACAGTGTTAAGTGCAGTGCTAATCTAATTGATTGCAATAGGATTAGAAATGAGAGACTACAAAGGCAATGAGGTAATGCTTTCAGTCTGTTAGCTACATTTTATCACATAATGGAAAAATCTGGGAATTAGAAGTATAAAAATGGAACTTGCTTTGAATTCTTTTGTAGAAGTCAGTCACTGGTGAAGTAGATAAGCCTTTGTCTGTCTCCAGAGGTTGAAGGAAGGTTTGAACCACTAACCAAAGGAAGAAAGTAATTTTTCAGAACTTGAAGAGAGGCTTATAGGGGCTTGTGGAAGTCTTCAGAGATGCAGAAGGATCTCAGGGTTAATGTATGTGTGTTCTTAGAGACAGGGCGTAACTAGTCTGCTCATCTACATAGTAGAAATCATAGTGTGCATTTTGTATAGTTAAGGAATTAGAGGTAAGAAGTATATTGTTATCTCTAAGTCCAAGCACCTCCTAGGGTCCCTGTGAGTTCTTCCACGGACCCACGTTCATCTAAATTGAAGGCACCTGCTCCATCCGTTTGTAGCATAACTACTGCAAAACCATGTTTGAACTGCTTACTTAAGCCTTGTTCAGTTAGCTTTGTCCAGGAGTGAACTGGATCACAGGTTCTACATGGAACTGTCCTTCAGTGGTAGGGACCAAGGACATAATGGTGACTAGAAGGCAGCCGTCAGCCTGGAGACTTTAAAGCTTGGCTTCCAAGGGACCAATGCTTTGCTGATGGATTTGTCCACTCTGAGTAGCATCTCTTCCTGGAAAGAGGAGTTCGTTCCTTGGCCCGACACCAGAAAACTGCCAGAGTTGTTCTACATACTGGTTAAAGGTGTTCTTAACATCCCAGTATTCCTCGTAGTGGTTAGTCTTACTAGGTTCCTTGTAAACTAGTTGGTACCAGTGCTTAAGCCACTGCTGTTGTTGTTGTTCTACTCTGTAGAATCCAGGAGATTTGGGAAGCCATCAGGAATCCTGAGCCACGAGTGAAGGGATGGAGAGGAGTGAGGGGCAGAGAGGAGATGTGGTCCGGGACTCAGGAGTGCTTGCTGGTGGGGCGCAGTGCCTGTCAGACTCGGCAGGCATCAGGGTCTGCGGATGACTTCTAGCCACTTCGGCCTTTTTCCCTTAGTGGCTGCCAGTTACCACGTGTCCCAAAGCTTTTCCTCCGTAAGTGCGTGGTCTAGGATCTCAGAAAGAGGACAGCTTCCCTCAAGCTTCCACTCATGAGAATTGTAAGTGACCGCTGAGAACTTACGTCTTTAGCAAGTTCCCAGGAGTTGCTGAGACCATGGAGACCACACACCGAGAACCACAGGCCTAGTGCAGGCGGCTCCCTTAGTGTCAGCTGCTTTCAGACTCCATCTCCCTGGGCAGCAGCTAAACTAAGAGGACTAGTGTGCAGAATTCACTCATCGGCTAGTGGCAGGTAGAGGTGGCAGTGGCAGCTTTGCTCACAGGGTTCTCGGGGCTTGAACTTTGGCCTTTGTCATTTCCGCGTGTGGTACGTGTGTGTCTGAGTTTTTTTAGCAGTACAAGTACTGGTTGTTATGAGAGAGAGAGAGAGTGTGTGGGTGTGTGTGTGTGTGTGTGTGTTTGCGCATGTGCGTGTGCCCTGTGCACACATTGAGCAGGCACGCAGGACGTTTTGGGCAGTTTCTCACCATAACTTCATTTCTTCGCAGTGCCTCTCCGGCAGTTCAGACGGGACAATCCGCCTCTGGTCCCTTGGTCAGCAGAGATGCATAGCAACGTACCGAGTTCATGATGAGGGTGTTTGGGCTTTGCAAGTCAATGACGCTTTCACACATGTGTACTCCGGAGGAAGAGACAGGAAGATTTACTGCACAGACCTCAGAAACCCCGACATTCGAGTGCTCATCTGTGAAGAAAAAGCACCCGTTCTCAAGGTACGTCACACATTTTAGATGTATAATAAAGGCTCTAACTAATGTTAGCCAAACACAGGGAACTGTATCAAAACATGAAAAGTGAATCATCCGTGGAGTTTCTACAAAGACATTATCGATGGAGATGACAGGATAAGGAGGAGCGGCCGCTGTGTGTCTGCAGGAGCACCCCAGGAGTTCTGTGCTGGGGCACATCTGTCTTCTGCTCCCCCCTACACCCTCACATTTTTTGAGTTGTCTGTAGAAGGTCCTGTCAGTGACACGACCCTTCCACTGTGAAAGCCGGTGAGACCGCACCATGTTCCCAAGGCTGGCTGGCCTTCTTGACCCAACCCCGGCAGGAGAGATTTCAAGAGTTCAAGTCATCTGTGAGCAGACAGTAAAACCGAGTGAGGTCAAGAAATGTGCCCATTGCCTCGGGAACAGGATGTGGATGCGTTCTCCTGAAGGAGAAGCAGGAACAGGTGGTTTATACCCCATCACGATCCCAAAGCTCTCCTGATAAAGAGCTTCGTTGCTGTCTTTAGGTGAAGACTAGCCTAGAAATAGGGTCATTGAGCATCAGCCTCAGTGGTAATCAAGGAGTAACATGTTAAATCAATGGTGAAGAAACGTCTTGAGTTTACTATAAAGGCATCTGGATGGCACGATCCTCTTTAGTTGAAAACAAAAAACAGATATGCTGATATAACCCTTCAATGAAACCACAGACCACTGTTTAGAAAGATGGGCTGGTAACAGCAGTAAAGGTCAAATGAGAAGATGCCCCCGAGTTTGTAGACAGAACTGGCTGACTCTATGTCTTTAAAGTAGAAGACACATCTTAGCAAAGCCTCGACGCTCTGCATTTGTGATCCTGCAACATAACAGTTTTACAGGAGGCAGGTTGATGGGAGGAGACACTCTACACTGTGATCTGGAAGCTGTCAACACCTTTTAGAAAAACAGGAGGGGAAAAAATGTCAACGGGCTTGGGCCACAGACATAACCATGTATTACAAGAAATAGCAGTTTGAGCCAAAGAGAACCTGAACTCAGTGGACATCCAGCCCTTCCACACCTTCATGTATGTAAAGCTGTTTATTTGTATAATATGTGCATGTGTGTGCCCACAATGCTGGGTTACTTCGATTTCTACAACTGACACCATAATTTAAAAATCAGGGTATATAAGTAGTTCCTACAGGTTCTCCTTGCATCAAATATTATTACTCTTACATTATGTAGAAGATACTCAGAAGTGTTTCTTTAAAATAAGCATTGGATTGACCTTAAATACAAACCTTACTATATGTTTTACATACTGAATAAACTTAAAGACAAAACTGTGTGTATTCATACTTGGGCTCTCCGGTTATCAAACTATCAGTTATAGTATATGCAAGCATAATTCTCCAGAAGATTGTCTAAAAATGACTGGACGTGACAGAAAACTACCAGAAATACCTGCTGGGTTTAGAAGAAGTCGTGGCACTAGGGCCATCATAGCCAGTGTCAGATGGATCTTGTCTGAGAGCAGAGAATACCAAAAGAATGTCTATCAGTGTTTGATTGATGGTGTGGATCACAACAAATTGCAGCTAACATTGAGAATGGGAATTCTAGAACACCTGATTGTGCTCATGCAAAACCTGTACTTGGACCAGGAAGCAGTCATCAGAACAGAACAAGGCAACACTGTATGGTTCAAAATCAGGAAAGTAGTGCATCAGGAATGTGTCTTGTCGCCATACTTTTTCTCAATATGTATGTGGAACGCTCTCTTCAGGAGGTTGGGCTTTTTGAGGAGAAATGTGGCATCACAATTGGAGGAAGACTCATTAACAGCCTGTGTTATGCAGATGATACAACGTTGCTTGCAGAAACTGAGGAGGACCTAAAGGTCAAGAACTACAATCTTCAGTATGTATTGAATGAAGCTCAACATCAGTAAAACATTCTCACCACTAGGCCAGTTGGCACCATCATGAGAGATGGAAAGGAGAATGAAATTTTAAACAATTTCAGCTTGCTTAGCTCCACAGTCAACACTCTTGCCACCAGCAGTCAGGAAATGAAAAGATGAATTGAATTGGGAAAATCTGCTGTCAGGGACCTCCCTAGAGTGCTAAAGAGCAGTGCTGTCAGTCTGGAGACTAAGGTGCACCTTATGCAGGCCATGGTCTTTGCTGTGCATCAGAGAGCTGGACAGTGACTTAAGGATACAGAAAAGGGATCAGTGGCTTTGAGTTGTGGTGCTGGAGAAGAATGTTGAACATTCCATGGACGGCCAACAGAAACAAGTTTGTCCCGGAGAGAGTGAAAACAAGCTGCTCTTTGGAGGCAAAGATTTTGAAGCGCGCTCTCACATATTTTGGGCATGTTGCCAGGAAGGACCAGTCCTTGGAGAAGGACCTCATGCTTAGAAGTGTAGAAGGATATAGCACAGCGGAGGAAGACCCCGGATTGGATGGATTGATAAAGTAACTGGGGTAATGGGTTAGAGATTTGTTGAAAACAGTGAGACTGGCTCAGGATAGGACAGAGTTCAGATCTGTTGTGCCTTGGGTTGCTATAATTCACAAGCCACACAATGACATAGAACAACAACAACAATGGTGTAGTCAAGGAGCACGTGCGGCCTAGTGGTAAGAAGTCTCAGGGCAGTTCAAATCCACCAGCTGCTCCGTGGGAGAAAGATGGACTGTCTCCTCTCATGCGATTAAACTACTTCTGAAAGCCTGCAGGAAGGTCAGCTCTGGGTCGGTTCTGACTCGACAGTGTCCAACAACAGTGACACTGCCCACACGGGTTGTAAAGACCAGCCTCGGTGGTTTAAGTTCCCTATCAGAAGAAGACGGGCAATCTCCCCATTCTTCTTACAGCCTCGGAAACCCAGCTGTGAATCCGTTCTGACTGGAGGGCAGTGAGTAAGTGTGAGTGCCTGTTTGGCTTAACGACACACGAGGGCAGGGAGCTCAGTAAACCCAGGATCGCCTGGCCGGGGTGTGTATTGTCATACGTACATCAGTTTAAAATACGAACAGTATGCACTAAACGGTTCACAGGTATCACGTCTTCAGACGAGGCAGCTAAATTAGAGAGGGCTTTTCATGCTTGCTGTGTTTTCAGAATGTTTTTACTATAAACATTTGAAAAAGGAAATTTATTATGTATTTTATAATATATGTTGTTCTTGTTATGTGCCATCGAGTCATTTGTGACTCATAGTGACCCTATGTACAACAGCCTTAAACTCCGCTCTGTCCTGTGCCAGTTGCATTGCCGCTGACACACCCATCCCGATTACCCCAATCAGTCCACCTCATAGAGGGTCTTCCCCTCCTGTGCTGTCCCTCCACCCTACCAAGCATGTTGTCCCTCTCCAAGGACCTGTCCCTCCTTACAACATGTCCAAAGTATGTCAGACGGAGCCCCAGAATCCTTGCCTCGAAGGAGTAGCCTGGTTTAACCATCTCTAGGATGAATGTTTGTTTTCTTGGCAGTCCATGGAACACTCAATACTCTTATATTTTATAATATTATATATTAAAGAAAGTACATAAAACTAAAGTAGCAGAAACAAATAATTATGAAAACTATCTTTTCAACTGCATTCATTTAGGGTCCTTTAAGTAATGAATATTTAAAGCATTGTAGTAACTGTTTCTGCTATGGAGTAATTTTTACTGCACTCTGTGGTAAATTCCTACAGTAAAGAAACTGTTCTCATCTGTGACTCCCTGGATTTTTACACAAATGTTGTCTGAAGGAGTTGATACTTAATAACGCATAGCTAGTCCTAGCAACTTAGAGAAGTAGAGATTTGACCGAGCACCACATTTGTACTTTGTTTGCAGATGGAGCTTGATAGATCTGCTGATCCCCCTCCTGCAATCTGGGTTGCAACAACTAAGTCTACAGTAAATAAGTGGGTAAGTGGACAGTTACATACTGGCAAAGCTTTGTAAAGTACATGGCTTCTAAACACAGGCTTGTCAGAGCACCCTAACATCAGACCCTAACACTCGGCGTGCTTTTGCACAGTGACAAAACCTGCAGGTCTCTGCAGGCCAGTGTGATCCTAAAACCTTTACTCAGATTAAGAGGTCAAGCCAAATGAAGTTTCTCAGTTCCCTTTCAGGAGCCAAGGTGAACTTCTGATGTGTTTAGAATAGGTACTGTTGCCCAGTAAGCCAAGAAGTATCTTGACTGCAAGGTTGACAGTTCCAATCCAGAGCATCTCCCTGGAGAAATGAGGCACTCTGCTCTCGTTAATATTTACAGCCTCTGAAACTTGATCACTGGAGGGTTGCCATAAGTCGGAATCACCCCACTGGCAGTTTGACCTCATGAAACTTCATCTGAGAATAGGTGGCCCAAGTGCCAACACAGTGGGGAAATTCCCCTGAATCCTAATAAAGAAAGGAGAGCAGAAAATGTGCTCTTGAGTTCATTTCTGTGTTCTTCGTAGCATGAACAGTGAGGAAAGAAAGAGGAACAGAGAAGGCATCATCAGTACTATGACATTTTCCTGCTATCCAGGTTTCTTGTGAATAACAAAAGAGAAAATAATTGCATTTACTGTTTGTATGTAGCCAAGCAGTCATTCTCAAGATTTATTAGTAGTTGATTTTTAAAAACTTGATGGTATAGACTGTGTGTATGTGTGTGAGAGAGAGACACACTCTTAAGGATTATTGTAATAATGTTAGGTGGAGTTTTATTCTTTTGACAGTTAAAATAGATTAGTAAAGCTTATAGAGTATAAAATCATTAAATAGCCTGTTTTGTTTCTCTAGACACTGAAGGGAATTCATAATTTTAGAGCTTCTGGAGATTATGACAATGATTGCACAAACCCAATAACACCTCTTTGTACACAGCCTGACCAGGTTATTAAAGGTGAGTCAAGAATGGAAAGGGGTAGAACACTTTTTACTGAGGTTAATTCTAGATACTGCGACACTAACAATAAGATGACCTAGTTTAAATTTTAATTCTGATGTAACCAAAGACAATAATGTGTTGAGTTGTTTTTATGGTAGAAAAACTTTTAAAATGCTTTTTAAGTTAACATTTTAATGTGGTCTTTCTTGAATTAGTGTTTTTACCTAACAAATAGTTGTCATGATGAAGCCAGCAGCTACTTTGAAAATGTCTAGAATATGCTGTTAAGGACACAGGCCAGAAAAGATCATATCTTACTCTGAAATTCTGTAAGTTACTGCAGGCAGTGGTATTTTAAATTCTCTCCCCTCCCCCCATGTGCGTAATATTATGGCTTTGCAATTGGAATCTCATAGTAACGTTCATTAACAGTTCATAAGTGCCCATGCTGTCACCTTCAGAGTTGACTGTATCCTATTCAGGAATCTTTTAATGTACTACTCAGGAATCTCTGAATGTATTCGAGACTCTATTCCATTCAGGAAGCATAAAAAATGAGGACAGTGGGAAACAGAAGTTAATGAGAGGTGGGACTAATTCATATTTCTCTTGTCACCTTGACTTTTTCCAGTTTGTAAAACTGACCTCAACAGCTTTCCCTCAGATGAGGGACCCTGTAGTCCATAATCTGGTACTAAAATGTGACAGGTTTTCTTTGAATGCTTGTAAACAAGCATGAATAGCTGGTGGCCTTAAATTGCTTCAGACATGATAATATACACCCTTTGGTTTGCCTTTTCTCCCCTGTCAGCCTCAGTGCCATTGCCATTCAACCTGTGACTGTAAATGCAGAATGAGTGTTTTGCTAACTCTGTCCTTCTGTCCTTTAGGGGGCGCTAGTATTATTCAGTGTCACATTCTTAATGATAAGAGACATATATTAACCAAAGACACCAATAATAACGTGGCATATTGGGATGTCCTAAAGGTGGGTATCTTTTTGGATTGCATATAGGTCATTGAATTGTGTATCTCCTTTGTTTTTAATGTTAAGCAAAAAGTATATGATAACAAGATAAGAAATACATAAATTAAGATTTAATTACTTATCTTATTTTTGGAATGGTCATCTTTTGTGGAAACTGATACTGCCATTATTGATCTTCTTAACTATTTGACTAGAATAATTTTCTCTGGTTACTATAAACTGTTTATGTGTAGACTGTCTAATATGCTGCCTTGCCTTACAGTGAGCACATTTAAGATTTTTTTTGTCCTCAGCACTGTTGACATTTGAACCAGATGATTCCTTGTTGGAAAATGGGAACTGTTCTCTGCATTTCAGGCTCTTTACCTGCTTGTTCTGTAGTGCCCCTTCTCCACAGGTGACAGCTGGCATTGTCTCTGACTGGAGATGGAGGTGGGGCAGAATTACCTTCCGCTGGGCATGACTGCAGTGCACAGAGTTGGTTTGATTGTGTCAGAGCCCTCACAGCCGTCACTGAGCGGCAGTTAGGACCCGGGACTGTAGTACAGTGCCTCCCCTGGGAACCGTTGTACCACATAGAGCTGTTGAGCCACATCGTCAGTAGTACTGAAAATGTGTGGACAAGTTGAAAAGTTAGTCTCTATTTTGTAGTTATGACAATTGTCTCCTCTTAGTTGTTGGTACGTTTCTTCATTTGTTCAACAAGTATTTCCTGATTTATATGAAGTCTGTGTCTGTCTAGAATTAGATGACAGGAGCACCTCCATTGTAACCCTTTCTAGAGGAAAGAGAGGAAGGGATGTGAAAACCTATTAAATAAAGAACAAACTGATCACTAACATGCGGACCAAGGCAATTCGTTAATGATTAGAAGTGTCAGAAGAGCTATGTGGTAGAGAATTCATTTGAAAAAATGGTTTAAAGAGTATGAAGCAAATGGAGAATGGGAGACCATTTCAGTAAGATGGAATAAATGACAAAGGCATAGAATAGAATATGTTTACTAGGTGTGGTTGACTAATGGTTGGAATTTTTTTAGCCATTACATGTCCTCTGGTCTTCAACTACCTTAACTGAAAACACATGGTCTTGTAAATCAGCATCAGCTGTGGGACCAGGATAAGACTAAGAGTGCTTCCCACAATGGACAGCAAGAGTTGGGGCAAACAAGGCTGGTGGTGGCAAGACCCTGGTGAGAGGGAGAGCCTGGTGTGGAGAGACTGGCATTGCTGTAGCAAGGTGTGACTTGAGGCTCTTGGCATTGGTGCTGGACACAGTTAAAGGTTTGGCTGTTGATGTTTAAAGAAGAAGCTGACTTAAAATTTGCTGGATGCTGGTTTACCTGGAGGGAAATCTTGCTGGGTGATTTGGATTTGACGGCTGAATTGAAACCAGAGCCTGGACTTACTGAGGAATTGTGCCTTGGAACTGTTAGGCTAAAGCCTGGACGTGTTGTGAGATAATCTTTGCCTCTCTCGCTCACCTCTCTAATAAACCTCATTATTGGTACCGTGTCTGTGAGTCAGCAATGAATGAAAAGAACCTCTTGCTATTGGTGGGGCCCTCCGTGACCATGAGGCTGGGCTATGGAATGACGGAACTGCTTTCTGCTCTGAGACGGCAAGGGTCTGTGCTATTCCCACTCCCTCTGGCCCTTGCAGAGAGACACTCAAGGCCCTGTGACCTATGTCTGGTTATCTCTTCTTTAGACACGAGGGCAAGGTGAACAGTATTGCTTAGTTAGGCACTAGAGTATGTATAAGGACAAAATAGGGGTGCAGTGAGATTTCATCTCCATACTTTGAGCATATTGTCATGTTGGAGAGGCAGAGGGTCAGCAGAACAGAGGAGGACCTTTAGCAGGGTTAACAGTGGCTGTAACAATGGGCTCGAGCATGTTGGAGGTGAGGAGAGTGGTACAGGGTGGTGCAAGGTTCACATCTGTTGTTCGCAGGATCACTGTGACACAACACCTAAGAAAGAAAGCGTGAGGATGAAATGGGTCCTAGGCATTTCTCCACAATTCCTCAGTCACAGTCAGGGTCAGGGCTAGTTGGTCTCTGTTCAGTCCCCTCTGGAAGATTATGGAGCAGGAAAATCAGCAGGACTAGTGTCTATGTAATGTCACAGTGGAACCTGGGAGCTAGTTGCCTTTGATATGATGAGTTGGAGAGTTTAAAGGGAGAGACAGGCTCAGAAGATGATAAAAGTTTATAAAGTGGACTAGGGGGAGGAAGTGCAACCATGAAGTGAAAATGAAAAGGAGGGGAGAATAATTAGAGAAATGTTTAGACTTGTGTGCTACTGAAAATGGTGGAAATTAAGGAGTTCTAGCGAGGCTTCTGTTTTAAGATGTAGGAGGCAGGTCACAGGTATGGGAAGTATGTCAAGGTTGTGGAGAACTGCCTTTGGAAACAAAAAATCCCAGCCCGGGTTAATGATCCAGTTGATAGTGGAGGTTGTCCTTAGAGTGATGGTATCATGAAGGAATTGAGAGGCTAACCTGTCATTTAGGTCGTGTGTCCAAGATGAAAGGTGCAAAACTTTGAGCCAGGACACGTACACACGTGCAGTGAACGAGAGAGTGACCATGGCTGTGTGAGGGCAGTGAGGAGTGGGGATTCCACTTGCATCAGCTGGATGGCGTGGACCTCACAGAAGTACGGTCTCCGCGGCAGTAGGAGGCTGTGAGATGTGAGAGAAGAGACGGTTTGGGAAAGAGCTGGGTGAGAAGGGAGGTAGCAGGAGCACGCTGTCCTACAGGGCAGACTCGAGGTGAGCTACGGTTGAAAGTACGGCTGGTGCCAGGTCGGTTCAGGACCCGTTGAAGGAGCACGTGCGTGTGTTAGGGAAGAAAGAAGTGTAATGGTCAAAAAAAGAAAACCTCTCCATTACTGCTTATGGTCTAGCTGTTCTGTGAGGGTAACATTCAGTTCTTAGTAGTTATTGGTTCCTTGGACATGTTTTTCTTATTTCTGAGTCTTACCGGTTTTTAGGTAAGTGTGATGGTATATTGGCATAATTAAATTACAGGTCCTGAAGAATTGGAAATCATTATTTTGCCAGCTTATTTTACTAGATTTTCAGTAGCAACAGATAATTATGTCTATCTTAAAACATTAACCTTTAGATATTACCACATTCCTTTTGAAATGTATTTTGGATCCCTTTTAGACAAAATGGTAATACGTTTAATTGTGAATAGCAGAGTCATGAATGAAACCAGCTTAGCAGTGACTGTTAACCTCCATCACCTTTCTTCTTAATGTCCAGGCGTGTAAAGTCGAAGATCTGGGCAAAGTGGATTTTGAAGATGAAATTAAGAAAAGATTTAAAATGGTGTATGTGCCAAATTGGTTCTCAGTAGACTTAAAAACTGGGGTAAGTTAACAGTTAATATTTTTTGCTGTTTGAGGAAACTAAAACTTTGCAAAATTAGCTTTTAAGTAACTAGTGTTAGTTACAGAATGCTGTGTTTTTGATTTGTGAAAGAAAGAAAAAAATTCATGTTAGTACAAAATGCTATTTAAATGCCCTTGGTAGCCAAGTCAACTTAATTGTAGGTGGACTGGATCAAATGAGGAGCCCTGGTTGCAGTTAGCACTTGTCTGCTAGTGGTAAGGTTTGTGCTTTGAATCCACGGGAGGGAAACATAGTAGTTGCTTCAGAAAAGAAGCGTAGCTTTGGAAACCCTGTGAGGCCGAGGCAGTTATGCTCTGTCTTCGGAGATTGCGATGAGTCAGAGTGGTCCCGACGGCAGTACATTTGGTTTTGTTGAATCATATGAAATACATTTGGTTTCTGAATCAGTGGTCTCACTGTTAGTCAGATTGTACAAACAAATAAGCGTTCAGTGTGTATTTGGAAGTGTCCAGTGGGGCCCGTGACAGTCTTTTTCTTTTGCCAGATGTTGACTATTACTCTGGATGAGAGCGACTGCTTCGCTGCTTGGGTGTCTGCAAAAGATGCCGGCTTCAGCAGCCCCGACGGGTCAGATCCAAAATGTGAGTCAGCTGTCTGCCTTCCTCTCCCTCTGGAAGGTGGCGTGCTGCTGGGGTTCCGCTCTGTAATTAGAGTTGACCGATTAGATCCTTGGTCTATATTCTCAAAGAATGTCAGGTATAGAGATACTTCATGTTCCCAGATACGGTCTTAGTGGTTTCATATGGAAATAACTTTTTAAAGAATACAGTTCTTGATTTGGTTTGGTTTTAAACCATGATTCTATCTGAATAGTTAGGCAGACTATCATTGCTGCTTTATATAGCCTAAAGTCTTGATTTAAACATCGTTGGCATTAGGTTAACATGCGGAAGTTTTACTTAAAATTGTTATTATGTCTTCCCCTCCGTGTTTAGCTTAAGTCCTGATTCTCTCTTCTGTGTCTTTTAAATGTTTGCAGTAAACTTAGGAGGACTTTTACTTCAGGCACTCCTGGAATATTGGCCCAGAACACACGTGAATCCGATGGATGAAGAAGAAAATGAAGTGAACCATGGTTAGTGGTTTCATGTCACAGTGGCTTCCTAAGAGTTCCTCAGAAGTGAAAGAGTCTTAGATGGTTTGCTATTTTAAGCCAGATTTTAAGTGTTTGCCAGAATGTGGCTATAAAATACTTGTAGTGATGCCCAAATTCTTGCAATCCCTTCTGCATCTCAAAGACACACCCCCATCCAGCCGTAACCAGGAGAGGCCCCGCGAGTCAGCTACCTTCTCGCGTGGCTTTAACCCTTCAGTGAAACTGTCACAGTTGGACTGTAAACTCTATATTCAGATGCACAGCTGTTCCGGAGATGTGTCTGAATGTCTGTGAACCTTCTGCGGTATCACTGCCCCAAAAACTGTTTGCCCTTGAGCGATGGTCAGACTGCATGTGGACATCTCCCAGTCCGATGATCTGCCTCATCTTGTTGATTGTTGCTTTGAATGCTCCAAAACACCAAATTCTAACCCAAAAGTGCGAGATGGGTGTTAGGGTGTGTGTGGAGGCTTCCTGTCATGAGGACCGTCACAAGGTTCCTGGGCCACAGAAAGGACCAGTAACCGGCTCTGAGCAGCATGTTTTGAACGTGGGAGTTTGGCTCCATTTGATCAAAGGAAGGGAGGGAAATAGGAACCTGGGATTACACAGTCCACGTGTAAGTTGGTGCTGGCTGAGAAGTCACTCCTCTGAGGAGTCTGTGCAGACGACCAGAGCGTAGTGCAGTGATGCGGACCTCCTGCCAGGACCTCGTTCAGGCAGACTGATTAATCGCTCGTGAGGATAGGGGTTTCCCTGAAAGCCGGAGTTCTGATGAAGCTGCCCAGAAATGGCACTGGCCCCACGCGAGATGATTTTGCTCTTCTGTCGGCTGGCCCACTTCACTCCTTTTCACGGTTGTGCGGGGGACTGAACCAGAGGAGCTGTCGGGGAGAGCCAGGAAACTGGGTGGTGTGTGCTGTGAGCACAGCTTCTTCCTGGTCTGAACCATCCTGTTGTATCTCTGACACCGAGTTAGACAGGACCGCTTCAGAGGTTCAGACAGGCTGTAAGGGCTACATAAGGGGTACACATGGTCTGGGGACAGCTAAGTGATTTACCATAGCATAGTCCACAGAATGTTCCAGATAATACTGGGGAGAAGTGCGTGTGCCCTGCCCGGCCTTTATCGATCTGCTTTTTTGAGTCAATTCTGGTGCTTAGTGACTTTATTAGAAGACACAGTAGAATTTGCTTTTAATGTCAGTTTCATTTCCTAGAACTTCCTCACTCCCCCTAATCTCTTTCCTTAAATATATTTCACTTGATTTGGACCCATGAGCAATACTTTATGGTATCAGTAATCAAGAAATCAAAAAACTTACTGTAATGGGCAAATCTGCTACTTCATCAGACCCCTGTAAAGTGCTCAAGAGCCAGGTTGTTGGGTTTAAGGACTGAAGTAGACATGTCTGCTGCTCCGTCAGAGCCGAGGAGGCGCCTGTCCTGCCTGCAAGGTGATGTGCTGTACTTAGCTTGAGTATTCAGACGCCCCTGGCAAATGGCCAGGTAATAGAGGTGACGTGGCCGGGCGTCCTGGTAGAGCCAAACACACGAAGCACTGTAGGTACGAGGCTCTGGTGGGTCCCCTCAGGAGGTGCTCCAGGGGGTGCAGGATTTCAGAAACTCAGCGTGCCTCCAGGTGGTGGGAGAACTGTAGGCGAACGAGGCTACTATTGAGTTGAGATCAGTATTAACATTTGGAGCTCTATTTGGATCCAACGATCACAAAGAAAGACTGGAGATGAGATCGTCAGAGAAGAGGGAGACGCAATTGTGACTCTAGGAATTTTGTTTCCCTGACACCACTGCCATTCGTTTTGGCTGCAATTGAACATAATATTTTTTTTCCTCTTATTCTGCTGAGTTCATCTTAGTTTCTTGGTGCTTCTAAAACACTGATACCACGAGCAGGTAACCTTAGCTCGTAACTGACTGGCTGCTCGTGAGATGGAACCACCCGATGGCTGTCCCCCCCGCAGGTTTTCAGAGGCTGCAAACCCGCCGGGAGGAGATTGCCCATCTTTCCCCAGCAGAGCGACTGGTGGGTTTGAACCACTTTGGGCTTAGCGTCTCAACTTCGTATGGCCCGCACCACCAGATCTCTAAAGAGACAACGTGGGGAAACTGAAATGTATTTTCTCACGGGTCAGGAGCTTCAAGTCTGAACCTGGGGCTGAGCTTTATTCCTTCCTTTGGTGAGCCTGTATCCTGGTTGCTGGTATCTGTTAGCAGTCTTCGGCTTGTAGACAGTGCTCAGCAGTGTCTCCCTTCCCTCGTGTGTATCTCTGTATCGCTTCAGGTCTTTATACAGACCGGTGGTGATTTGGTTTGGTGGTAACCCTACGTTGGTATAGCCTCGTTAGTAGAATAACAAAAGAAAACCTGATTTCCAGACAAGCAAGATCCTATCTATCGGTACAGGGATTAAGATTGCATTATATATTGGGGAGTGGGGTCCTGCCAGACACTGTTCTACTACACAAAGCAGACACTTTCTTGCACACGGGCTAGACCTAGATGGCTAACGTAACTGGGTGTATTTTACCTTTCAAAACTATCGAGCATCTTTTATTAAAATCTTCCAAATACAGTAATTTTATTTTTTTTTTTTTAATAGAGAGCATGTCAAATTTCTTTCTGGCTCTCACTGACTTGGAAGACTTGTTGTAGTTGTTAAGTGCTGTCGAGTTGCAGGTGACTCCTATGAAGGAGAGTCCTTGACGCTTGGGTGCCTTTCGTCCTCTTTCCAGGTTCATAGGGTTTCCGGAGGCAAGCTATTACGGAAGTGGATGCCACTCCTCCTTCCACGCTTGTTTTAATTGGGGAGCTTCACCCTACTCTCTGTCCTCATTGGGTAGCCAACCATTAACGCATGGCCGCCATCTCTCCCCTCTTCCCCTTCCGGGCTTGAAGCCCCGTGCTGCTGCCTTAAACCCTAGGCCAAGCCTGGCTTGCCTGGCTCCTGGAGGCAGAGTAGTCCTTCGTGTCTGAAAACTGCCACAACACCCGCACAAACAGCTTAGAGGACTTAGGACTTTTAAAAATCCTATTAATGCTTTAAACCCATGGAAATAAATGTTTACACTTACCATGTTAACAAACTGTTTACAGATACCATTTGCACTAACTGGATCCTAACCCTGTTGTTCCCTAGTAAACGGGGAGCAAGAGAACCGGGTACAGAAGGGAAATGGGTATTTTCAAGTGCCCCCACACACCCCCGTGATCTTTGGAGAAGCTGGAGGCCGCACGCTCTTCAGGTATGGACATCGAGGCCGCGACCGGGAAAGCAACCCTTTTCTGGGAAGTATTGATTCAGGCAGATGGTGAAAGTGGTGTGTTAGTGATTTCTGGGGTTGTCGAGAGATCTAGAAACTTTCCCTTCTCCATGAAATGAAACGTCTCCATGAAACGCCTGGTGCCGTTGGGTGGCATTCACGCGGAGAGCTGAACCTTGAGGGTGAGGATGAGAGCTAGGCCTTGGCTTGAGGCCGCTGCTTTGGCAGTTTCATTAGGAAACAGTTTGCCAGCGTAACTGCGAAGGGTAGGGAATATTAGGCATCACTAGAATCTGCTCACAGGAGAGGTCAGAGTCGGTAACTCGCAGGCTAGTCAGGGAGAATGACAGGGTGCCCAGCAGTCCTTACTGGAGTCCTCTCAAGATTCCAGAAATAAGAACAAAGCTTGTCCTTCCGAGAGCATCATACTGGTCTTCCTTTACAATGTCGTCATGAGAATACGGTGACAAAAGCTGTCCTGACTCCCCACTGTGTGGAGCACATTCGGAAGCGCTCTGCTTAACGGCCAGGTTTCCCTTCATCACTCAAAGACCTGAGGTTGTAAGGCCTCAGCCTCAGAGTCTCCGGGTCTGGGGTTCAGGGCCGAGCTATTGTGCCTGAACCACTGTATTTCCTGAGCTGTCAGGTGGGATTATCATAGACGGGGGCATTATCACAGATGGTCCCTTCCTCTAACGCATGTTCACAGTGCCTTTACCGCTCATGTGTATTATGACACTTAAGACCCAATGGCTTTTCTGTAGGCTGCTGTGCCGAGATTCCGGGGGTGAGACTGAGTCCATGCTTCTTAACGAGACGGTGCCACAATGGGTAGTTGACATCACTGTGGATGTAAGTGGCCTCCACTCCCACTTTGCCCTGTTATTCTTTGCAAATCATGAAGGAAATTAAGAACTGCATTAGACTCTAATCTTAGCTTCTTTATAAAAACGAGATTGCCAAATGGAATCTCCTTCTGTTCCCAGCAGTTCCAAAGTTGCAGAAAAAAGTGTTGATCATTATTTTCATATCTATGTATTATATCTTTAATGATTTTTAATTCTAAAATAATCTATGCTTAGTTGAAAGAATAATAAAATGAGACCTTCATCCAGTCTTAACTTCTCTCCCATTCACTCCTGTTCTTCTTCCCTCATGTAACAACTATTAACAGTTTACTTCATAGCCTTCAGTATTTTTTTCCTATGCTTACACAGGCATATATTATTTGTGTGCACACACACACACACACACACATATATATATATGTATATATGTGTGTGTAGTTAATTTTATTTTGCATAGAATTTCCCATGTACTATTCTGCAACTTGTTGTTTGCACTTAAAATGTATCTTGAACATTTTTTTTCATGTCTGTACATATGGATCATACCTTTTTACTTACTGAATAGTATTCCCTTGTGTGACCATAATTTGTTTAACCAAATCTCTGTTTATGGAAATTTAGGTTATTTCCAGTGTTTTCTATTACAAACAGTGGTGCAGTGAACATCCTTGTATATATATTTTTGTGTATTTTTTAGGATAAATTCCTATAAGTGGAATTGCTTGACCAAAGGTTATGCACATTTTAAATTTTGATAGATAACTGCCAAATTGCCCTCCACAAAGGCTGTACCAGTTCACTCTGAGCAGCAGTGCAGTGTACAAGTGCCTGTTCCCGCATGCCCTCACCACCGCTGGATACTTTCAATCTGTACTGAAAGACAGGCAAATGCTGTCATCTCATTGTTTTAATGTGGGTTTTTACAATAATTCAGAAAGAGGTTAAGCATCTTTTCCTGTTCGCCATTTGTACTTCTCCTGTGAATTACTGCCTGTGTTCTTCAGTCACTTTCTAATGGTTTGTGGTCTTTCCTACTGATTTTTAGGACTTGTTTATATTGAATATTAACCCTTTGACTATTATATGTGTGTCTCAGTTGAGTTTTACTTTGTTCATGGTATCTTTTGCCAGGTGAAAAAGTTTTCATTTTTATATAATTGAGTTGTTTGTGGTTTTTTTTTTTAATGTCTTCTGAGTTTCATATCTTGCTTTGGTACTTCCCACTCTAAAATAGTGTTCTGGACTCTTCTCTAATATTTTTATAATCTTTTTTTTTTAATCTAGATCCTAGAATTTCTTCTCAGTTTGGCGTGAGGGAGGGGACTCACTTTTCCCAAATGCATACTCATGTCTCAGCAAGTTTTGTTGAATAATCCTTTTTCCACTAATTTGAAATGCTGTCTTTATCTTTTACTAAATTTCTGTATACACATACTCTGTTTATAAACTCTCATATGCTGTTGACCTATTGTGTATATTCCTAAAGCCATATGAAAAGGGACATAATCTCTCAAATCTTCCAAAAAATGTATTTTCTCTCCCATATAACCTCTGAGAATTTAAAGGCAGTGACACTGGATATTCTGTGGTTTTTCCCTGTGCCCAAGTTCCCCATAAACTGCTCCTTCCTTTGGTTATGAAACTTGCCTGGGCTCCTTTGCAACTTTGGCCCCATGAGTTCCTCCTGAAAGGGAGACACCCAAACAGGAGATGAGGGGTTTCATGCCCATAGCAAAGATGCCCACCTAATTTTATCCTTCATCTGAAGATGTAGTTTCCTTCATGGTAGAGATCCAGGTGATTGACGCAAGTTTCCATTCTTTCTTAAAACTTTAGACCTCGCTCTGATGTCAGAGGGAGTGGAAATGGGTTGGAGTAGGGGCCTCCCTAACAGAGTGTACACCTTTGCTTACAGTAGAATGCTGTGGTCTCTATCACCGTGTTTCTTTTTCGTTTAGATCTTTAGGGGTCAGTCCCAGTAATTTCATGTAGAATTGAGATTTTGGTTTGTATGGCTTTAACGAACTAAAATAAAGTTTGTTTCCTTTCCATACTTTGTACTGTTATTTGAGGAAAGCCATGCTCTTCGTAGTGCCACTGCAGTTACAAAGAATCTGTCTTTACAACATGTTCTAAAAGCAAAAGCTTTTTTCTGGTTTTCTCTTAGTATGGTAGTTTATATTTCATAGGAAGTTACATTTGGTTGTTTTTTAAAACTATTACTCATGCATCACATTTTCCTAGTGATAATATTTTAGTTACTCAACTAATAGGAACTATTACACCTTTTTAACTTCTAATATTTCAGAAAAATATGCCCAAATTCAACAAAATTCCTTTCTACCTCCAACCTCATGCATCTTCGGGAGCAAAAACGTTGAAAAAGTAAGTAAACATAGTTTCATGTATTCCTTGATCCAATTAATTACCAGAGAAAAATCTTATTCCTTATGATAGCTTTTATAGCAAAAATGGTAAGTCCGGAACTTGGGGCCGATTTTGCAACATTGTGCTCATGCAAAACCTGTACCTAGATCAACAGGCTATTTATTGTGTATGAAAACAGGGGAGCATTACCTGGTTTAAAATAATCAGGAGAGGTGTATGCATCAGGGTTGTATTCTGTCTGCATACCTGTTCTGTCTGTATGCTGGACAAGATCATTCAAGAAGCTGGAATCTTTGAAGAAGAATGTGGTGTCAGGATCAGAGGAAGACTCATCGACCACCTGCATTATGCTAGTGGTAATACCTTGCTTGCTGAAAGTCAGGAGGACTTACTGCAGACAATCAAAGACCACAGCTTTCAGTATTACATTGCATCAGCAAAGAAACAGTTTTCACCACTGGGCCATTAGGCATCTTCATGATAAGTGGAGAAAAGGTTGACACTATCAGCGACTTCTCTTACCTGGATCCTCTTGGTAACAGCAGTCAGGAGATCAGGAAACACTGCATTGGGGAAAGTCTGCACTCAGGGCCTTTCTGAATCACTGAGGACCAGTGTACCAGTCTGAAGACTAAGGGGCGCCCGATTCAAGCCATGGTCTTTTCACTTGCTGTACATCTGAGAGCTGCAAAGTGAGTAAGGATGACAAAAGAAGAATTGATGTCTTTGGGTTAAAGAGTTGGAGAAGAGCACTGACTATCCCCAGGGACTGCCAAAAGAATAGATAACCTCTTGGAGTGCTCCTTGAATGCAAAAATGACAAAACTTCACCTCACATATTTTGGGCATATTGTTACAAGAGGCTGTTCCTTGGATAGGGGCATCATTCTTGAAAAGGTGGAGAGTCGGCAAAAGAGAGGAAGACCCTCAACCAGAAGGATTGGCACAGTGACTGTTGCAGTGGTCTTGACTGTGTCAGAGATTGTGAAGATGGCACAGGATAGAACAAGGTTTACACCTGTCTTTCTTGGGGTCTCTATGAGTCATACTTGACAGCACAGAAAACTACAAGCTTAGGACCAGTTTTACAACACTAAGTTTAACCATTAACCCATTACTTCCTATTGTAGGCTGTGTTACTGTTACGTACTCTCAAGTCAGAACCAACTCATAGCTGACCCTCCCGTGGATTTTCAGAGGCAGGAGAGCATATGAGAGCAGATCCTTCTCCCATGGAGCAATTGGTGCATAAAACTACAAGCTGTTGGGTTTACAGGGCAATACCTTACCACTAAACCACTGGAGCTCCTGTTACAGGCCGCGTGGCGGTGGTGGTGGCGGCGGTGGTGTGCCATCAAGTCAGAACCAACCCATAGCTGACCTTCCAGTGGGTTTTCAGAGACTGTTAATTACAGGTGAGGAGATTGCCCAGCCTTCTCCCATGGAGCAGCAGATAGATTCAAACCATGTGCCTTCAGGATTGCAACATAGCTTCTTACCACTAGGCCAGCACAACTCCCTGTTATAGGCTGTAGGTATTTGGGAGTGTGTGTGTTTTGTTTCCTGTCATACTTTACCACTTAGGACATATTCTATATAACTCCTTCCATGGAGACTGGGATTATAATGAAAATGGGGAGAAGAAAGTTTTGGACTAACTTGAAAGATAACTATTAAAGGCCCCAGACAGCATTTGATTAGAGATGTGGCTATGAGACTGCATAAGATACTTGAACTCCATGCAGACTGATGGAGGTGCAGTGTAGAATGGACAGGGAAGGATATGTCAGGAGTCATTTGGGAATGATAACCAGGTCTTCGTGGACATTGGATTTGCTAAGCTACAGAGCTTTCAGTGATTAAACATCAAAACATGTTGAACAGATAGGAGATGTGGCTCGAGGCACAGGGACCTGAGAGATGGTAAAGTTGAAGCATTAAAAAAGAGAGCTCAGGAGCTCTGGTGGCCTAGTGGCAAGAAGCTGTGCTACAATCCCAAAGGCGCATGGTTCGAATCCAGCAGATGTCCTTCTGGAGAAGGAGGGGCAGTCACCTATGCCAATTGGATTAGATTCGATGGTGCACAAAAAATAAATATTTTAAAAATTAAAAAAAAAAAAGCTCAAAGAATTGATGCCTTAGATTTGTGTGGTTGTGAAGAGTATTACTGTCTCCTGGACTACCAAGAGAACAAACACAACTTTCCTGGAAGACGAACAGGCAGGATGCTCTTTTCGAAGCAGGGATGGTGGGACTTCATCACAGATACTTTGGATGTTACAGGAGGGGCCAGTCCCTGTGGGCGTGACGCTTGGTAAAATAAGAGATCCGCAAATAAGACCTCCGCAAGATAAATTGACACAGTGGCTGCAAGATTCGACCGTGTTTTGTTTTATTGTGCAGGAGGTAACAGCAAGATGGAACAAGATGCTGAACTGTGAGCAATACGTGTGTCCTCGGAAGTAACATCTTTACAGCCAGTTTTAAATCTTTTTTGTTATGTAAATTTCCAAGTTTAGAAAAGAGAATGAGATCATGAACCCTTACTAAACCCCCCCCAAAAAAGCTTCAGTAGTTGCTTCATCTGCTCCTCTTCCTTCTCCCCCACTCCCCACTTCTTCCCACGCAGACTCCTTCCCATACACCCACCAGATTATGTTAAAACTTTTCTTGATAATTCATTACTTCAGCTAGATTTACTGACTAAAGATGAACCTGGCTTCCAGATTTGGAGCCTGAGTTGCTTGGATCGGCCATTGTTGACTGCCCTAGAGGGCCAGGAGGAGCAGACTTGAGAGTGGAGAGCCGTCGATGAGCCTCGTTCTGCACCTGTAGAAGTTGGTGTGCCTGTGAGACAGCCAGCTGGAACTGCCCGGCCAGCTGTCAGGCTTCTAAATGTGGAACACAGACACAAGGTTGAGACTTAGGTGATCTTAGAAGAGCGGGGTCTTCTGCTCACAGGCGCTGTTGGAAGGTCTGGCAGAGTTGACCCCAAAGACCATGACCACCACCCTGGGGGAGCAGTGGGGCCGCCTTCTCCTCGGCCACACCCCATGCTCTGGGAAAGTGCGTAGGAAAAACGAACCACGTTTGTGTCTCTGCAGTGTAATCTGTCTAATGTTAACCCCAAAGGAAAGTCGTAAGGAAGCTCTTGTGCTTTCCCTAAGATCACAGTCTGTCTTTGCTTTTCATAGAGACAGACTCTCTGCTAGTGACATGCTCCAGGTCCGCAAGGTAATGGAACATGTTTATGAAAAAATCATCAACTTGGATAATGAGTCTCAGACCACTAGCTCTTCTAACAATGAGAAACCGGGAGAGCAGGAGAAAGAGGAGGACCTCGCCGTGCTGGCGGAGGAGAAAATCGAGCTTCTGTGCCAGGACCAGGTGAGGCCCGTTCTGCCCCGTCCAGATCCTGAGAGTTCCATCCTGTGGTGGGACAGTTGTGGTTCCCAAATACGCTGCCTGGGGATCTTTACTTGGAGGGAGGCCCTAAGAAGACGTGGTCTCCCTCCCATCCCCAGGGCCCCTGTGGAAGGCTCTGTAGCCCACCTGAAAGCGTCTGTTTGCAGAGATGCAAATGCACTTTTTAACCTACAAGAATCGGACGGTCTCAGCTAGGGCTCCAAACTTGGTCAAATGTTAGCCATGGCTGATGAAGCGAAACCAGGACAGAACACAGATTTTTGAAATTCAGGTGATCTGGAATGATGCCTGGAACAGGGGAAGTGGCAGGCGTAGCCCAAGAAGATTCGAGACAGGCCCGTGGGCAGGACCAGGGAGCAGTGTTCACCACGGCGCCGCGTTCACCGCAGCTGGCTGCCATCTTTGAGCAGGGTGCCCCTTCTACCCGGCTTCAAATTCACTGGGCAAGAAGTGGAGTTGCCATGCTGTGCTGTTCTTCTAAGGGGGAGAATTTCATTTCTACCCTTAGTGTTTTCCAATTTTTTTACTGCTCTAGTTCACCCAGATTTAGAAACACATCTGTGTTCAGTCTCACTTCTTCAGCTACGACTGTCCAGGGCCTGCCCTCAGCTTGAGGGGATGAGGGGAGGGGGATGAGGGAGGGAGGGAGAGAGACAGAGAAAAAAGAGTCTCGATGTGCAGAGCAGGGTCTGCCAGCTTAGAGACTGGGAATTGGGGGGACATGGGTGGAGAAACAACAGGGTTCTTTGAACTCAGCACGCTCGGTGTTTCTTGAGGGGGATGGCCTGCTATTCCGGCCCAGCCATCAGCCGCACCCATTCTCATGCCTGAGTATGTGGAAGCTGGTCATTGAGAACGGGTGCCTGGGTGTGGGGGGCACGAGCTGGATGGGTCCCTAGGTGAGAGGCTCCGAGTTAGCAACATAGGCTTTCGACTTCACAGAGACTTGGAAAATGTCCCTTTCTCGTCTTTTTTGCTGCTCAGGTTTTAGATCCCAACATGGACCTTCGGACCGTGAAGCACTTCATCTGGAAGAGTGGCGGTGACCTCACTCTCCATTACCGGCAGAAGTCGACGTGAAGGGTGGCCGAGCGCTCCTGGGTATTCATTTCCTGACCTTCCTCTCTGGCCCCAAGAGTAGCCCTAGGAAGCCCGCTGAGCCCCTACAGGAGCACGACCGCCAGCGGCCGGTTTGGTTTGGACCAGGATTCTCTCCATTGACGTGACTGATCATGGTGTAATATAGAAACCAGTGTCCATGTGTAGATTAAGCTGTCCCCAGGGAGGCAGAAGTGAGGGCCGAGGACCCCCTCGTGTAGACTTGTCTTGCGAGATATTCAGAGGCTGTGATACAGGCCAGTGCAGACTTTGCTTCCTCCTTTTGTTTCAAAGGACCTTATCTTTGTCAGCACGTGTTAAAGACACATCGGTTGGGCCACTTCTGTCACTGTGTTTAAACATCCTTCTGACCCACATGTTCTGTAGCTTTTCTAAGAGTACATTCCATTCATGCAGTTCCTATGAAGGCTTTTTCCAAGGTTGTCATAAAAAAATCAGATTGTTCTCACCATTTACAGACCGTTATTTTAATGGGAATTTGCTGCTGCACAATTTGAGAGCCAGCCCACTTGGTAACGATTCCTGTGGAGCTTGTTTTTAATACTGCATCTCAGATACGTTCTAGTAGGAAGAGCTGGTGAGATTCCAGGGACTGGATCACAGCACACTGCCTGCCCGGCGGGAACGTGCCCTCCTGGCCCGCGATGCCGCAGCCGCAGGGCGCCCTGGATGCAGCTGCCACGGGGGAGCAGCTTCTTCGCTCCTCCTGCCCTGCGTCCGGCTCCATTTACGGGCAAAGCCAGCTGACGCTCCAGATCCCTGCTCTGGGCGTGCGGCCGGGCACCGGCAAAGCTCAAGACCGTGATGAAATTGTCATTTCCTTTGAAAGCTACCTAAAATTTCTGGTGTCTGAGTAAAGAGATGTCCCAGCGGCTTGATTGCTATCCACATCCGGGAAGTATACATACTTGTTTTTCCAAAGTTTTCTAATGCAGGTTTTGTTGTTGGACCTGTATCCAGATCTTCTTTTCACTGTTCTTTCTAACAATTTAAAGCTTTCATAGTCATTTGGATCTTGTACAGACTATAACTTATTGGGGATAAACACTTTAACTTTTGGCAGAAAAAATACTTTGGATTCTCCCCAAGGTCATTTGTATTTGGCGCAGATCAACAGTCCACCCCATGAACCCACCTAAGACAAGCCTCCTACGGGAAGCCAGAGCACAAGTGCCTTCAGAGGGCAGTTTCTTCCCGTCCAGCCGCCTCCCCGGCCTGTGCGCGGCCAGTTCCCCCATCAGCAGGAGCTGGGGAGGGGCCGGCAGGGGTCTTTCTTTTCTACATCTTCACAGGTTCAGCTGGGGGCAGCTAATGGGGGCCTGGGTCCAGGTGTCCCTGTTTCAGACGTTCTGATCCGCACAGCTGCACAGACAGGGTTCGCTCACTGCTGGTCCTCTTGCTTCGGGAAGTGGGCAGGCCATTGCCTCCTGCACTTTGAAGAAGTGAGCAAAGACGTGGCCGCAATCCTGATGAGCTGAAGTGGTCTTTCTCCCTTCCACAGAGAGCAACCCAGCTTCCTTTTTTAAAAGTCCTTTCTATGTATCAGTTGGATACGACAGTGCGCTTTTGGTGCACATTTTCTAGCAATAGTTACGAATTAAAGGCAGAGTAAAAACCGTAACTTATTGACCAGCCCTCCATGTGTTCACACCCAGGGTCCTTGAGGTAAAGGGCTGTGCTGTGCTGGGCCGTGTGCCCGGAGCTGAGCCCAAGGGGCAGCCCACCCCTTCCCACCTTTGACCCGATCTGACCCCCCCAGCATGGTTGTACTTTTTTTCCCCCTTCCAGTCAAACCAAGTAATGCAATTTCCAGAAAATTTGTCAGTCTGTAATGCCAAAAGTTGAAAAATCTGTATTTCACAGTTGTATAGAATAAATGCTTTAGTTAAAATATTTCATAGTATACATTTCTTCTTTTCCACTTCTCATTTTGTTTCATAGAAGATTCACTCTCTGGAAATTATTTGGACTGATAACCACTTTCTCTCCTAATTTTTGTTGGGATACAGGGAAGAAACAGAGCCCTTAGGTGAGGGAAACTTAGAATGAGACTGTCAGGCAACAGTGAAGGGCAGCTGGCCCAGGACAGCATGGCAGCTTCCTCTCCTTCCTGACAGGCCAGCACCGGCCTGGGACACAACGCCCCATTGTCCTGCCTCACTGTCCTGCAGGCGTGTCAACCTCTGGCTTCCCGAGAGCTTATTTTGAGTGCAGTCATGATATCTGGAACTTGATGCATTTGCTCATCTGGGGCCCTCCCTCCAGGTCCCTGGTCTATGCACTGCAGGGAGTCCCAACCGGGAGCCTATAAACAGGCATTACATAGCAAGGCGTAAAGGTAAGCCTTCAAGTGAGCAGAGGCTAGATGAGGCCTCAGAATGTGGGAGACCTCTGAATGTGGGGGAGCAGAGCGTCAAGTGAAGAGGGGATGGAGCCAGCCTCCTGCGAGGGTGGTGCAGAGTAGAAGACCCAGCTGAGCCTGGCACGGCCTCCAGAAGCACCCGGGGAGGGGGAGGCGGCTTCCCTGTGCTCGGACGGGAGAGAGGAGCCCTTGAACACACTTAACACTCCTCTCCAGGCTGCTCCCCCACGGAGCGACGCTGTCCGGTGTCAGTCAAGACGACTGGCCTGGCCGTGCAAGTTTGCGCATAGTGAACCGTCTGCAGCTTTGAGTCATTGTCGGGGATGGGATGGCAGCTTGATTTGTCTAGAAGTGACAGCTGTCTCAGTGGGGGAGTTGACACCAGGGGCACCGCGTCTGCAGCCCACAAGTCCTGGAGAAAAACCACTGCGGTCCAGGTACAGGTGCGTCTCAGCTGAAGAGCCAGCATTTCTACCCCAGCTGTGGGGAGGCGCAGATACACTGCTGTCCACCCAGGATTGGTGTGACAGCGGCACAAGCGTGAGGGTACACGGCACAAGCGCATGGAGTCAGCGACAGGATGTGGGGTTCACAGTGCTTGAGGTTCCCTCCAGTGGATCAAGGGCCTGGCCAGCTGTGTATGAAGAATCATCGAGCAGTCATTCCACACTGGCTGCCTCAAGCGATCGGAACCCCTGATTCTGCCCCTAACACCTGACCCTGCCGACTTCTGGGTGGCCACGGTGACCACAGTGCAAGCAAGCACTGAACTTGGAGGTGCCCGACCGAAGACCTTCCCCAAAGCTCCCTATCCCCAACAACTCTGGCTCCAAGTAGCAAAGAATCCCTTCTCTCCTCCACCAGCTTCTGCACAAAACACATTTAATGTCAAGTGCTGTTCCCAGCCATCGGCCAAGTAAAAGGCTTGCTGGAGCGCCCTCAGAGAAGTGCCAGGTCCCCAGCCAGAGTAAGGACCTCCGGGAGAATAAATGCTGAAGACCAGAAGCAGAGGCTAAGTGCTCACAGATGTCTGCCCACCGCCAGCCACAGCAGTGTCCACGTGGCTTGCCGGCCCGGGGCTAGGGTGTTACTCTGCGGCAGGGGTCTCAGTCTGGCCAGCAGGCCCTTGGGCCTCCGTCCCACAGTCCGGTCCCTCTGTGCTGACCGGCTCGTCTTCAGCCTGAGCTTCGAGCAGTTCGGCAGACAGTCCATCTTCTGGTGAAGCCGTGGAAGTAAGGCTGTCGGGAAGAGTCAGCTGAGGCAGGTGGTCCTGCTGGGCCTGGGGGCCTGGGATGTCCAGGAAGGCGACTTCAAACTCTGATCCAGACCATGTGGCCTCACCTGAAACAGAGGCCAGGGCTGAGGAGACCTGTGGGACCCCAGGCTGGCTGTGGGGGTCAGTATGGCCTGGGAGAGGCCCCGACCTCACTTCCACCTGAGGCTCTGACAGTAGATAGGGTGGCGTGGTGGCCCAGCTGAGTCCAGTTCAAAAGCCAACCACTGACCCAAATAAGAACAACCTGGGGTCCTTCCCAGAGGGTTCTGAAGGGGCCGGCTACTCACCACCCCGATCCTGAGATCCGTTGCTGGAGACATCCTCCACTCCTGAGGCCGAGACAGCTGCAGAGGTCGGCGGAGCGGAGGTGGGCAGCGTGGGAGAGGCTATGCCAGGCCAGAGGCCAGCATTGCTGCTGTCCAAGAGGGAGATGCCTGACACGTCCAGGAAGCCTGTGGGAGGAGATTAGCAAACCCTGGCTGGCCAGCACCTTGCCCTGTGACGGGCATGTGGCACAGCTCATGACACCTCTCTTCAGCCCCAGTGATGTCCCTTCCCAGCCCACAGAGCTTCCCTGCTGCCTGTGTCTAAAAGAGCTTGGGGCCGGGCCTCTACTCTTCGGAACGGGTCCCGTGGCCGTGGGGCTCTGTCCTGAAGCTGCTGTGACTTAAGTGAGCCGCTCTCTTCTCCAGCCTGCAGACCTCCCAGCCCCACGCTGGATTCCGTAACCTGTGGCGCTCCCCGTGTATGTGAGAAGTGGGTCTGCGGGCCCTGAGGAAGGTTCTGGTGCAGCCCTGAGCCCTGGTCTACTCCAGCACCAGAACTGCAGCTTTGCCTGCCTTCCAAGCCTGCCCAGTACCTGGGTCCATGACTCGCTGCAAAGGAGGAGGGGACCGAAGAGACGTCTCCATGGAACGTGGCAGTCCCTCTAGGTCTGTGGCTCCGGGGCTGGGAGTCACAGGTGGTGACAGCTGGGTCTCCGTGGAGGAGTCGGGAGCCTGCAGCAGGGCCTGGCGGTCAGGGAAGAAGGAGCAGATGGGAGGCAGTGAGCACAGTGCCCACTGTGAGGCATCACCAGCCCACCTCGCCCATGGGCGCTGCTCCACCTGCAGGGAGGAAACAGACCTGGTGGTCTGCCCCTTCCTCAGCAGGTGATGCAGGCCGGAGCTGCTTGGTTTGGTGTCCCCTGCAGTGCTGACAGCGAAAGGGACCCTCTTCACATTCCTAGAAACTCCAGGTGCCCGCTGGGCCCTGACACATTCCCCAGGCCCCATCAGTGACCAGAAGCCAGCCCTGCCTGGGGAACAGTCTTCCCCTGGCCCCTCGCTCAGCCAGGCACCGGCCTGTGCCCACAAGGACAGCGCGCCGCCTTCATGGCGGTCCAGACAGCCAGCCTCCACCGCCTTTTACAGGCTGTGGGAGCGGCCTGCTCACTTCCTCCTAAGGTCTTGAACCACTGGAGAATGCCCAGCTTTGGAGTGAGCAGTGCTGCTCTCTGTAGGCTGTGCCACCTGAACTCCCTCTGGAGACTGTTCCTCAACCACCTGAACAGCTCACGGGGACCGGGCCTGACCAGCCCTCCTGGCCAGGGCCCAGCTTTGCCAAAGCTATGACAGGCGAAACACTGCTCATCTCTGAGCCTGTTTTCACTCCAGAGATGTGGCCAACTAGCACTGTGCTTTTACCCTCACACCCAAGGGAGAGGAGGTAGGGAAGGCCTCCGCCCCAGCCCATGACAGACCCCTACAGAGCACCTCGCCAGGACAGCTTCCAGAATCTTCTCTCCCTGGCTGGTATGCTGCTCTGCCCACACAGAGCTCCCTTCTCTCTCCCGGCTAGCACACGTGCCTCACGTACCTCCACATAGTCATCTTGGCTGGAGCGGATTTCCGGGGCAGAAGGGCCAGGCGAGTCCTGAGGGGGAGGTCCAGGTGGTGGGGAACTAGGTGACTTCCTGTCGTAGCCGGGAGACCGGACTGGGATTCGGTGCAGATAACCATAGCCAACATCACATCCTAAACTGCAGAAGACCAGAAACAACTCATCCCGGGGTCGTCCCAGAGCCACTCCCCACATCCCACCTCGGCCACTCCCATCCAGCATCAGAAAGGAGGACCCAGAACAACGGGCATCCTGTCCCCCGGGCTTGAGGGATCTGTGCCCACTGGTCAGGCCCCACCCACCTCACCCTGCAGCCGTCCAGCCACACGAAGTACCTGCCTTCTCCACCCCAGGCCGCATTGGGAATTACAGTCACCTCCCGGCAGAAGTCCAGCTCTGAGTTGTAAACCATCAGCTTCACGGGCTGCCCCTGGTGGGACTCGATGAGCGTAAAGAAGTCCTCAGACTAAGAGAAACACGTGGAGCCTGAGCCCTGCTTCCAGCAGCGGAGGCCCAGAGAGCATGAGACCACGCTTCTCCTGGGCACCATCCATCCCTCCACATGCCATGCAGAGGGCCTGGGGAGGGCATGCTGGAGGGTCAGGGGGTCCTCACCTCCTGGAGGAGCTGGTCCGAGCCAACCACGTAGTCTGTGTAAGGGCGCAGGCCTGCACGGGCAGCAGGCGAAGACGGTTCCACGTCCTGGGGGAGGAACCATGAGCTGAGGGTGGCCCAGGGTAGGGCAGGTGGGCCGCAGGGTCACTAGGAGTCATAGTCAACTGGGCAGCACGTGCCAACAACTGGTGTGAGAGGTCTGACTGGGATCCAAGTCATAAGTAGGACACAGGCTAGGGGCTCGGCCAAGGGCTCTACCTCCCTCAGACCTACAGCTGACCAGCAGAGGGCGCTTCATGGCCTACTTGTGAACACTCTGGTCTTACTCAACTCTGGGCTCCCTAACTTGCTCACTGTATGCTGGCTGCACAAACTACCTAAACTCCCTCCACCTCAGTGTCCTCGTGATGAAAAGTGGGCGAGGTGTGGTACAGAAATCATGAACACAGCACCGTGGTCCACAGGAAGTGCCCAGTTGCATTCCTGCTGTGGGCATGTGGCTGAAGGATGCAGGGAAGGGGTGGGGGGTGAGGGAAGTGTCCAGAGCTGGGCACCAGGACCCACCCCCCTCGGAAAGAGCCTGAAGGAGGCTGTGGGTTTCCTTGTTTCCTTAGAAATGTAAAGGAAGTTGCATTATCCGCCCCATTTCCTTCACGGGTGATTTGAGTCAGTGAGCAGAGGAGGCTCGTATGTAAATCAGCCTCCAGCCAGCCTCACTTGTGGGCTGTCTCATTATCCGACAGCTCATAGTTGAGATTTTCAGGGGGCCACACGACACCTCTTTACATCCGTAACGCCTTAGTCCAGCCACGGGGGGCACAGGGCAATGGCAGGACAACAGGAGGACATGGCAGTCAGAGGGTGGCTGGGCAGCTGAGGTGCAGGAGGCTGGTGGATGGAGGCAACAAGTGGGGCCATGGAGAGCTGCATGAGGGGGTGGCCAGAGGTGGCAGGCAGAAGGCAGGTAGGGTCCCCACCCATAGGGGCAGTGGGGAGCAGGCAGAACCCGACCACCATGGAGAGACAGAGAGTTCTGGTGGCCAAGGAGGTAAGGAGCTGCACTGCCAACCCAAAGGCAGGCAGTTCAAATCCACGATGTGCTGCGAGGGAGGATGGGCAGCTGCCTCCGTGTCATTTACTGCCTCTGAAAACCCAAAGGAAGAGTCGGCTATGGGTTCGGTTCTGACTAAATGGGGGAGAGGGAATTATGGGAGTCCATCTCCAGGTCTTTTCTCAGAATAGCTCCAAATCCTAACCTTTCCCTTAACAGCTGAGTGTGCACGCACGCACACCCCAGCAGCATTTTGGGGTTCCTGTATGTCAAGCACGGCACCATCACCCGGTAGGTGGTATCCTCGCTTTTCAAAATAGACCAAGGAATGAAATGGGAAAGAAAGGTGCCCACCATCACAGGGCTGACAAGAGGCAGACACAGCTCTCAGGCAGTGACAGAAATGCCCTTTCTTGACCTGTGAGAGTGCTGGGGGCCCTTTTCCTGCATGAGTAACTCCTGTCATGGACCCGCCCACGGCCCCGCCCACACACTTGTCCCAGCCCTGCCCCACACCAGGCCCCGCCCACACCCTGTCACAGCCCCACCCACACCCTTGTCCCGCCCTGCCCCATGTGAGGCCACGCCCACACCCTTGTCCCGCCCTGCCCCATGTGAGGCCACGCCCACACCCTTGTCCCG